GTGACCGGTGACCGGGCCGGTGACCAGACCGGTGACCGGGCCGGTGACCGGAGACCGGACCGGTGACCGGACCGGTGACCGGAGACCGGGCCGGAGACCGGACCGGTGACCGGTGACCGGGCCGGACCGGACCGGTGACCGGAAAACAAAAAAAGTATATTACGCTCGCAACGCACTTGCACGCGCAAAAACTCACCTCACTTGCGCAAGCGATGTCGTCAGCGCGCCCCCACGCTCCTACTTGACTACGAAGAGGCCATGTCCAAAACGTGACTTGCGCGCACAAAAGCTAACTTAGTAGCGCACGCAGAAACTAACGCTGCGACTCACTTGCGCGCACAGGCATGTTGCTACATTGGAATGACACCTTCCTCTTCAAAATTTTACCCGCGGGTGGCTCACAAAAGCTCTGCTATGTTGGAATGGAACCTTCCTCTTCTAAATTCTACCCTCGCGTGGCTCACACCAAAGGTCTGCTCTCTTGGAATGGCCCTGCCTGATCTAAATCTTACCCTAAGGCGGCTCACAAAAGGCCTGCTACCTTGTTTTGAGAGCAAGTACGCCATCCATAACGGTTGTTCAAGTTTCAAGGACCGCCCACTACGTTCCCACTTCTAGCTTAGCACTTTGGAGGTTGGCTCATGCGACAAAATGTGAAAAGAATGGCTGAAATCGCTAGTCTTCCCTGCGCTTGCCTCCGTTTGTCCGTTTTCGCTTTTAGCAAAACAAAGGACGCTACTTCCAACCAATGGCTTCAAGGGCGATTGCGCGGGCCAGCCATTGACGCACTCTATCCCAAAATCTACCATTGGCGTCTCCTGTCAGATTGATGACAGCTTCTGTGAAATCCATGAGGAGAGTCCCCCTGCAAATACCTTCGCTCCGCTGCTAGTTCCCCTTCCCCAACCACCACGGCTCCTGTGACAACCCCATCAAATTGATGACAACTCCTCGATGATAATTTGTTATGTTTTGTTAACTGACCCTGCAGGGATCTTGAAATATCGCAACTACACGTAATTTAAAAAATTGCTAAAGAACGAGAAAAGTCTACGACGGCGCCGGTACGTGGAATGCCCTCAGAGAAACATGCTGTGGAGGTGTGAAACTCCGCACTGCAGAATTGTGTCAAGGCCCGGTGTCTTGCACTCGGTGCAATTTTGAAGACCCAGGCATTCGCTACAGGTGCCGGGGCATTCAATGCAAAATCTGCCTCGAGCACAGACTTTGAGGCAGATCTTTCTGCACGTGACAAACTCCTAGTTCTGTCCAATCATACAACACACTTGCTAGCACAAGCAAAACTGATTTGGGACCATGCAAGCATGTTGATCAAACGGTCACAAAAGGTGCAGTGTCCTTCTCGATCATCGGAACCATCTGGATAATGTGTGGGCGGACAAGCCGGCATGCATTCCTTCAGGGTGCAGTCTAAGGAATGCAACTCACTGGAAGAGATATTCACTGAATTCGAGTTTCTGGCTCGCAAATGCAGAGAAAGGGTGGTACCGAAACCAGCTTAAACAAACAGATTGCTCTGGGTTGCCCAAATTTCTGCACAATAAGCGCTCCTTTCTGTGGGTGAGGTAAGCGGCGTTCTTGCCTGATTGAAAGGCATGAGCTTTCCCAAATAGGCAAGGAATAGACTAGTGCAAAGCATGCAAGCCACTAAGCCGCTAAGCAGCAAGACCAAGCAAAAAGCCGAGCAAAACAAAAAGCGAAAAGCCAAGTAATGGCAAAGTCATGGAAAGTCTGTGGGGGCAAAGTATTGACATCGCCAACACTGGACATGAACAGAGACTTACAGACTTGCGGAAGCACGTTGCATTTGGTGCAGTAGAACCGCGTCTCGCAGGTAAGACAATCTCCCAAACACTTCTCACAGGCGCGGCCATCAAGCGAGCCATCAGCTGGACTCCTTCAAAGAGATCAAAAGGGATGCAACAATTGTTAGAGCCTGTGGGTGTTAGAAGATCACCGCACTCCAAGTTCACCTTTCAACTGGCATGATGACCATGCACCTTTCGTTTGATGGCTCAAGAAAGAACCGTTTGAGCGGAATCGGGTTTCGCTGGGTTTCGCTCGATCTGAACATCAGGTTATGAGCCCAAGCCTTGTAGCTTGAAGACCACCCCTTTTTAGGGTCCCTCCCACCACTGTTGTGAAGTCGCTGACAGATCCGACATCAATGGATATGTCAAAACCAGCCAGTCCCCGAACGGCAACGCTGACCCTTCAACTGCTGGATGAGGTAGAGCAGGCAATTCTAAGCTTCGGACTGTCCCTGGGATGGTAGGTTGTGTTGCAGGCGGTTCACCCAAGCTTCTCGTTCCATTCAACCCTGGAGGGACTAAAGGCTCTTTGCAAAACCTCCAGAGATTGGCGCGCCGTCTCAGACCACCCATCTTGCCCTGCGCTAGGTCTCTGACCGTTCCCACCCTGGAGCCAAATTTCGACCACCTTGACCTCGATCCTGAGTCGTCGAAGTCGATGAATCCGCTTGAGCCCGCGCAAGAACCTGCCGCCAGCCGCCGCGCAGCCGAACTTGGTGGCAAAGAGGATGCTCGCGTTGTTATGGCCTCTTGTTCCAAGAGCGCATCCAATCTCTCATCTGCCGCCCCAACTCTAAGGTTGCCTGGTCTGTCCTGTGGGTCCCTCAAGAGCCTTGCAGCAGCTAGACGCTTGTCCGAGCAATGGTTGGCGGCGACGCCCTGGAAAGGTTGAGACTTCGACCTGCTAAAGCGAAGGTGGATCCTGTTCATCTGAGAGTGGAACAACGAGGAGTAGCTATGTTGCTTGGTGCGTTGAGGAGGGACATCATTTCAGGAAGTCCCTCGACGGTCAGCATATTGTTCAGACTGTATGTGGTGTTTCAGCCGGGCGGAAGTGCAGAGAGAACCACCTTGTTGAAGAGTTTGACAGAGGTCAAGGTGAGCAACAATGTCCCGGATCTGTTGGTGACCATGCGTCAATGGCGTCGCTGGCTTCAACGAGCTGAGGAGTTGAATCTGACGCTCCCTGACCCAATCATCATGATGCAAGTGCTGGGCAAATTGATGGACTCAATGTCGAAGCTGGGAGGCAGTCAAATGGCCTACAGAATTTCGACGGTGCGCCAAGAGTTGATGGTCGATCAGAGGCCGGAGCTCAGGGCGACCAAAGATCCCAGCGAATACCTTCAGGCAGAGCTGGAGGGTTTGTCGCTTATGTTGTCAGTGCCTGGGGTTCCACGGCCGCAGCTCATGGGGGTCAGGCCGCTGGGACTCAGGCATTGGCGGTGAAGGCTTTGCAGGCTTCACCGACGGTGGAGGACAAGCCGAAGACGGTGTGCAAGTTTTGGGGCACCACCCAAGGGTGTCGAAGAGGAGAACAATGTACCTATGGACACAGTTGGGGACAACATCGAAAAGCAGAATCGTTGTTTTGTGTGCTCAGGTGAAAGCCACTTTGCAAAGGACTGCCCAACCAAGAAGCCCAAGGATTCAAAGCGAGTTGCAAAGATTGAGGGCTCGCAAGGGGTCAAGGAGGCAGGGTCAAGGGAGTCCGATGGGGTGGAAGCTCAAAAGAAGGAAGAAGAAGTCACTACGACTACTTCCAAGCCGAGTCAGGGTCCTTGAAGAGCTCATCGGCGTCCGGGAGTCGGGAAGTGGTGAAGGAAGGGAGTTCTGGAGGCGATACACCATCCGGAAGTGTTGATGCCACCGGCGCTCATCACTGAGGCGACAAGCTTGTTGAAGTCGCTTCGATCACTCAAGGCCTGTAGGGTCAAACAAGTTCTTCATCCACCACTCGGCCAAGGATCCAGGTGGCTTTGTTGGACGGAGGTGCAACACACCCGCTGAGGACAGCGGCTCCAAATGAGAGAGATCATTTACGGCCCATCCAGGTTGAGTTAGCTCATGGCTCAACCACCCTGTTTCGAAAGGAGAATTGCAGCACACTACTTTCACTGGATGAGGTGGAACCAATCATTCCATTAAACTTGTTGGTGCAGCATGGCTTTCAGGTCCAGTGGGCAAAAGATGGATGCGTCATCAAGCATCCAAGACAGGGCCCAATTTCATGTTGGTTGCGGGGAGGTTGCCCCGTGATGGATCGGAACCCATGCATCGGGGGAAGAGCTACCGTGGAACCGAAGACAGAGACGATCTCATCAGACAGCAAAGGGCATAGTTGCGCACTTGTTTTTGGGCGCCAACCTGACTCGCTGGAAGAAAACCCTTCCTTCCGGATATGTGTGGCTTTTCCTGGATACACAGCTTGGCTCTCGCTTTGATCTGCACCACCAATATGGGGATATCTTTGTTCATTGGCCAAGCAGGGTCAAATTCGAGTCACATTAGGTGGCCCACCTTGTCGAACGACCTCCAGGCTCCGCAACAAAGGACCTCCGGGTCCACGAAGAGTTTGAGGACGGGGCAGGAGAGATGGGGTGTTCCACAGCTGTCAGAGCAGGAGGTCCAATTGACTGACCATGATTCGGCGTTGGTTCTCAAGCAGGTTGGCCTCTGGAAGATGTCACAGCAGAGTCCCAAGCTTCAAAACTGGGTTTTTGTTGGAAAGCCCACAAGACCCATCCACGTACCTGGACACTCCAGAAAGCCGAGAGTCTCCTTCGTTCTTTGAATGGCCTCAACTACAGCAGCTCTTGGAGGAAGATGAAACTATGAAGATGGTCTGCTTCGATCAAGGAGCTACAGGTCACTGCAGAAGGAAACCTACAGGACTATTGACCAACTTGCCAATGATGGAGCAGCTGGAGTTTTGTAAGGGAGGTGGCGCGACTGATCCCATTTGTGGTGATTTGAGTCAGCGTATGGCTACATCGAGGAGCTGGTCAGAATGGTCATCGGGCCTAGTCAGGGCCATTCAGTATTCGTTGAAGGAAATGCTCAAGGAGGAGAATGATGCAGTTCAGGTCGCGAAGCTAGATCTGGATGAATGGCGGCGACATGTGAGGACGCAGCACGTCCCATTCAGGCGCGACTGCCGTGCTGGCATCGAAGCGATGGGAACACAACATCCCCATCGAAGATCCAAGACGGCGTCAGCAGCCTTCACCTTGGCGATTGACATCATTGGTCCGTTCACCTCTGGAAAAAGACCTTGCAACTGGAAGAATGGCCCGATATGCACTGTTGGGAACCGTGCCCATTCCAGTTCCAGATCAACTCCCACGTGCACTCGAGGTGGAGACCCTGGATGAAGAGCATATGGAAGGAGTTGAGCCAGTCAGGAGAGGTCCTGGGGGGGGCATGGCAGAGGATGAGGAGCCCGTGGATCCAGTAGATCTTGAAGCCATCCAGGAGCTGATGAGGCCTCACGGACTCCTCCAGAACCTCACAATGATCGAAATCCTGGAAGATCGAAGTGTGACTTCGCTACTGGCGGGACTATCACGACTACATGCTTGATTTCGCTGCCTCGCAGTCAATTTGGTGAGGCTCCACAGCGATCGTGAGAAAGGCTTGCTTTCAAGAAGGGTGGCAACTTGGTGTGGACACAGACATATATATGACCCACACCTTTACACAAGGTGATGACCCCCAGAGCAACGGCGGAGCTGAAGCTGGAGTACAACAAATCAAACGCCGCCTCAGACTCCTACTTCATCAATCCAAGGTGGAGCCGGAGCTATGGCCTGGAGCGAATAGACATGCAGCTGAGGAGCAATGCCGTCAACAGCTTCGACACCTTGGCATTGCAGTTCAACCTATGCACAGATTTGGTGCCATGGTTCGATCGAAACGATAGCACAAGGCTGGGCAGGTGGCAAATCCTTTTGCGTCGATGCAGCTGGTAGGCCCTAGCCCACTGATGACCAATGGCGACTCTCCTACACAGTGTCTTGGCTTGGAAGGCACGTGGCTCGCTGTCCTTTGCGGGCCCAAAAGTATGGAGCACAGGTTCTGGGTTTTTTTGCAGGGCACTTCGAATCATGGCCTCCTGTACACCCACAATTTTGAAGGAGATCATGGGCAGAGTGAAGAAAAGGGCATCCACCTGTACTCCGACGCCTCGTTTGGTCCGCCTGGTTCTCGAGGGCATCAGGGGTTGATGGCTGTGTACTCTTTTGCTCTGATCCAGTGGGAAAGTAAGCAGCAGCCATTTGGAACCTTGTCAAGTTCTGAAGCGGAGCTCATGGGGTACACCGATGCTCTCACGATGGGCGAGTCCTGCGCAACCATTGTGGCTATCTTAGAAAGTGGAGATGCCAATGAGGCAATCGACTGTGTGCTTCATGGTGACTCTCAATCTGTTGGCAGGCTAGGCATGAGCCCGGAGCTTCTCTTGCTGACAAAGCCAATTGTGAGCCCTTCCTCATGGTCGCGATTTCGTGAGTTCACTGGTTTGTGCACTGAAGCCGCCTCTATCAACGCCATGGAGGACGGGTCCCGAGTGAAGAAGCTCATTAGACTTGTGAGCAGGCTGGTAGGTGTAGCTTGTTGGCAACCAGTTCAAGAACATGCAAGGGTTGCCAAGTGCGTGACCATAGCCGCGGTAGCTTCTAGCATAGCTTGTTTGATGTCAAAAGAGGGTGTTCCGGCACCCGCTTGGACCAAGGCATCCAGAGAGAGCGGTGTCGAAAGAAGAGAAAATCAAGATGGGACAAGGGAAGATGGACGTGACACTAGCCCCGCGGGCTCCCTCGGCCGCGAGCGCACACGCAAGCCATGGATGCAGCAGCCACCCAAGATGAGCGCCCTGAGAGCTCCTGTGATGCATGTTGGTTTGGGAACTGACCTGCCACGGGAGCTGATGAGATTCCAGACACCACCAGCCGGAAACGACAGGTGGGAGTGCCTTGGTGTGGGCTTGGGTGGAGGCGAATGGTGGGTCAGTCTTGAAGAAATCGAGAGTTCGAGCTTTCCATCCGCTTCGCAGGGGCACGCCAATGTCTATTAGCAGGTTGTCTGCGACTCGGGTCACTGTGGCCTTTTCTCGCAGAAACCCCCGAGAGGTGTGGAAGAGAACGGTGGTCACTGACGACTGGGTCGAAAACAGGAATTGTGATCTCAACGGCATCTACGAATGGTGTGGGTATTCCTTCTTCTATGTGAAGTTTGGAGCTTCGCAAGATGGAGGTTCAGGAACTCAAGATCGGCATGATTTCTCGCCGGGGCCCGTACCTCCGCCTCGATCGGTCTCATCGGCTAGAGGCTATGGAAGTTCTAACCCTTGAACTTCAAGGGCAGTGCAACGAGGCCGAAGGGCCTTGCAACAGGATGGGCAGTTTGAAGTCGAAGATGGCATCACCTACGATGGAGTGGAAGTCAGTGCACGAGGCAGTGAGTCCATCGAGGGTGGCAGGATGACTGGCTATGACCTTCGGCTGTATGGATGCGGACGCAGGGGGGAGATCGATCTTGACCCTGGCCGAGAAGCGAGGGGCCAAGCACAAGCATCGGAGGATCAATTGCCTCCTGCTGCGGACCAGCTGCCGATTTGGCTGGGCATTGAAACTGATGTGGGACCGCCGCCAGGTCTTGAGCGAGATCCAGATGATTCTGAATCAGATGGCAGCTTTTGTGTGGTGGGTAGTGGATGAAAAAACCTGCTACCGCACCAAGGTGATAGCGATGCTATCAGGGGGAGTGTGGGTGTTAGAAGATCACCGCACTCCAAGTTCACCTTTCAACTGGCATGATGACCATGCACCTTTCGTTCGATGGCTCAAGAAAGAACCGTTTGAGCGGAATCGGGTTTCGCTGGGTTTCGCTCGATCTGAACATCAGAGCCAAAGAGGAAAAGACAGTGCTCGTCAACTGTTCTCTTCTCAACCCTGGTCTGTCATTTCTTAAGAACTGGTTGCTGACTGACTTTTAGATAGCGTGTATGTATGTACTGTCTATATTTATATAGTAATATATATATATTATAAACTTCAACTCCTTTGTGAGAATGTGATGCTTGCCAGCACAGTCAGTCCTTGAATAGAAGCCTTCAGGACATTGAGCTTCACAAGAAAAGTCTGCTGTCAAGAAAGTACCATTTGTGCACTTTGTGCAAAATGCTTGTGATTGGCAGGCGCTGCCTGAGCCATTCAGACGTGCGCGCATGATTGGCATTCTTGTCAAGCTAACTACAGCGGAAGTGACAAAATTGGTACCGGCAAAACATAAAAAGAAGGTGGTAAGATCTAAGCACTTGATTCAACACCAAGCTTAAGATGGATACAAAATAATATCTTGACAGCGCTTCCAAACGCAGGCCAGATACAATTTGCTGAACAAGGCTGACATGTGCGACCAGTCTCTGCAGTACCAACTCCAAAAAAACCGACTGGGCAGTTTTCTTGGCACGACATGTCCTGGGCACCAAGGTCAGTGACTCACGACTCGAAGCGGGTGTTGAAAACGGTCTGCCACAGCACAAGAATACACATTCTTTGCCTTGTGTCAGGCCGTTGCAAATTTGCGTTCGTTTTCAACTGAGACTGTACACGTTGAGTTTCGCTGACGTTTCCAGCTTCATCACCCTTGCTGCCCAAACACCAAAGTCAGGTACGTGTTTCTTCTGCACGTGGTGCACCTTGCACTCAATTTTATTGCGTGACTCATTCAAAGCAATGGTACAAAGAATGTGAAGCAATCAATGTACGTCATACATTTTGGGCATCATACATCTCAGGCATGTCTTTCCTTCTTCCTCTTGTGATTTGACATTTCACTGTTCACGGCCCTCCTCAAAGGTGAGCTGCAGCTGAGGCAGTTGTGGGGACAATCCTCGCAAATGCCGCCGATGAAGTTCCCAGGCCAGGAAGGTGTTTCTTCGCCACGCCTGCTTGTCGGGCAGAACTGTGTGAGGCACTTTGAAAGGCTTTGGCATCAAGAATGTACACCTGATGAAACCTTTTTCTTGAAAAAATTACAGATTCCTTGGCTCACCTAGGATATGTGCCAACTGGACAAAGGGCTTTCGGATGGCAAGCTCCTCCATATAAGTAGTAATCATTTTGACCTCAGTATTCCACGGGACTGAAACCCACAGATCAGAATGTAGTTCTGGAAACTGCTTGAAAAACAAACGGGTCGCTTAGCGCAAACATGCTGCTGGCTGAAAACCTTCTGAGCTCAAGGCGCGATTTAGCAATGACTGTCAACATTGGATCAGGATCCTTGCCCTAAATTCCAAGCACCGTCCAGCAGTCAAACTGAACTGTTCTGTAATCTATATCTTTGTATATATAGCTTACTAAGTGTTGTTCTTTAAAGGTGTGACATCTTGCGCTGCAACATCTGTGCGATTAAGATTCCACAATGGCGTTCGGTGAAAAGCACTCGTAGTCATTCACCCTGCCAGGCCAAACTATGTGTTGACGTCTGAATACTTCAGCGCATTGCAACTACCAGATTCTGTTCCCTTCGGTGAAGCATCAGCATGTATCATATTTTATTCCATCTGCCACAAAAAGTATCACTAGCATCACGGTCCACCAGCGCCCCGCCACGACCTTGCTGTCCCTAATCCCCCTGCTGTGGCAAGATTGGTGGCCTACCTCAACAACTCCAGCTGCTTCAGATTTTGTCAGAATCAATCAAGACTGCGTGAAATTTCAATGTTTTGCTCCTACCGCCCTCAATCTCACATGGAGCTTCTGAAGCCCACGTGCCAATGGACGTCCATTGACGAGACTGTCCAACTGGATTGGGTTTGTGATGGTCGGATCCCAATCCCTTGGTCGGAAGACATCAAGAAGGCCCTGAACGAGTCGCGCGACATGACCAAGATATGGGGCAACCACGGTATTTCCGTTTCGTGGAGATGGGGAAGCAGCAGTGGTGCAACCGGCTCTACTGGGCCGCAACCTTTGCGGAGGAGATTGCCAAGTTGAAGATCGTGGGGGCGCAGCACTTGACGTTGGCGGCCCCACTACTGAATTGCAAAGCGGGGACTGTGGTCATGGTCACGGCAGCGGCAAAACTTTTTGCAAGGTTTCGTGCACAGAGGGCGCCAACCCTCTCCATCAAGACTGACCGCGCAGAGGAATTTGCGGACAAGCGATTTCAAGAATGGACAGCGCCGGGGACGAGGCCACCGCCAATTGAAGAGCAGAATTCGAAATAGTGGCGCTCAATAATGCCACTCGAGCGCTCCTACAATCAGCCCAGTCGCCTTCGAGCAGCAGGTTTGCGATCTGCACTGGGCAGCGGCGAGCGGCTGGCGTCAGCATCATGTCAAAGGAGCGGAACTGCCAGAAGATGGTCTCACAAAACAATTGGTGGGAACTGCGTTTGAGACCATGAAACAGATGGGCATGTTCACTGGAAACCAAAGGTTCGCGCACTGGACGCTGCAGCAGCCTCGATCGAAGTGGCGGACGATTGGGCGACCCTGCACAGGGCGATGGTGGTGTTGGTGAAGGGCAGAGTCACAAGTGTTAGATGCTGTGGCAGAGCTGCTACTGATGGCAGGCGCAACGTGGCTTTTTAGAATCAAGACAAATGGAAAAAGAAAACGAACCTTCCCCGGGGGGACTCCAAAGGTTGCAGGGAGAGCCACTGTCAGGGCCCACAACGAACCGGCAGTGAGAGAAGCTACATCAAGATCGGTGAGGCACAGCATAACGCCGCAAGGGGGCCCGGACCCTCCACAGGTAGCGGCCCACAGGAGCCAAGATGCGCAAACCCTCGTGAGCCGTGTGGCGAGCGCCATACAATCGCCCTCCCAAAGGCAAGAGTTGGGACATAGTGCTCCACTATGCGGTTCGAACACATTGCAAGTTGAGATACCAGTCATGCCCCCCTATACATTCCACCTTCCCACTTCGGGAAGACCAGATGATGGCGGGCCGAAGTCACGATCAAGTACATGAATGGGGAGCAGCCTGGAAGAGCTACATCCTCCATCACAGGAAGATCGAAATGAGAAGAAGATTGAGGACGGTGGACTGGATGCACCTTTTTGAACTTCATGACCGAGCACATGGGACGGAAGCTGAATCATACATGGGGCAGCGCCCGGTTGTTGCTTGGATCAATGAGAAATACGAGGGTCTTGAGCCTTGAACAACTTGGCAGTTTGGACGATGTCCAAGGGGGAGTGCTTCGGGTAACGAAGCCTGATTTTGCCCTTATCAACGCAGACCCTTTTTGCTTGGTGAAAAAAGCGCGCTCTGCAGTGCACCCCTGAACAGCCTCCACCAGACCCCCTGTTTCCCGTTCTCCTTCCTCCCCCACCTTCCTGTTACGTAGACAATTCAAAACTGGGAGTCACCAGAACGGACCGGGACTCTAAAACATATAGACATATAGAACATAGTCTCTCAGCTTCTGTTAAAGTCTACCACAAATAGCTTCACAGTACACCCATGTTTCCAAACACAAAAGCATGCGCTGAAACAATTCGATGGATTATACCCTATGCATGTCAATTTAGCTGTCACCTACATTGGGAACATTTGGGAAGCTGTCAACAACTTTGCCCTAAAAGACTCTCCTGCCCCAACATTTCCTGGGAGCAAAAGTTGACGAACATCAACATGACATCTGACTGCTATACAAACAGTTTCACTCTCACATACACACAACAAACCCCGTATCGTGGACCTCTACATACGGCTGCGCTGAACTCACCCAACCCCCAACCTGCAATTTCTGCAAAGGCGACCTTCTTCCCCTTGGCTGGGGGCAGTCAGCCCGTAAAACCGTGCAGGGCACGACCTCAGCGACAACACACATCGACAGCAGCCACAATCAGCATTCATTGTTGAAGTGCCACGCAACAATCTACGCAAACAGTGTCCGAAAAGAAATGCGTTTGTAAAATCAAAACTAACTCAAAGCCTAATAGTCAAAGCAAATGCCTACAGCGACGTGGGATCCTAATCTTCGCGTCGGCCCGCGTCGGCCTTCCGGACACCTCAAAACACCTATAATGTGCCTTGGCGAAGCACGGTGAGCTATCCTGCGTCCTACTAAGCCCTTACTCAATTGAATAGGCGCCTGCCGTTTTGCCTTGGTGGTGTGCACCTCTCTGCCTTTCTCTCCCATTTGGCCCTGCCCGGCATGCACGGTAGCCACGCAACCCGCTTGAGTGCACAGGAGGGCGACCGAAACAAGCAGCGAAGCAAGCGCTACAAACTTCCATTTTCGCTAGCAGCTAGCACGATGCCCACTGTCGTTGTCGTGGTCCCACATAGCTGAGTCAGCTGGAGCCCCGGCTTCAAACTCAAACTGCAACAGGTTGAACCAGGCAGCTCGGGAAGAAGAACGGCTCTTGTGCCATGGTCGCTCTCACATCATACCAATCTCACTCGCGCAAGACAAAAATGCTTTTGACTAAAGACACTCTGGGCATAGCTGTTGACTTAGTTGCACTACATTCTACACGCACGTAGGGCTTGCGGTTGATGCACAATAGACTCAAACACGGGCGCGCGCGTTCATTCGATTATATTACAAACAACTTGGGACATGTCAGGTTTCTGTAGGATATCTTTCGCGGCTTTTGGGAATACCCAGCTTTGACAATTTTGCAGCTGCACGGCGCGCTACCATTACAATCCTCCACGAGCTTCAGAAAAAGCAAAAGAGCCAAACTCCCTTCAAGGTTGATTGCTAGGCGCAATCTCAAATTCCTAATTTGCTTTTCTTACTGTAGGTTTCCCGTTCAGCCACCTTGGTGTGGTGCTGAGCTGAAGGCTTCACGCAGCGCCCCTGATGTAAATAGCGGCGGTTCTTGCAAACGTCGCAAACCTGCAAGGGTCTGCAATCTCACACTAGCCTTTAGACCAATGACCAACACTCTAATTTTTGACAACTACTTCTGGCCTCCAAGGTTTGGCAGGCAGCACAGTTGTCACCACATGGCATACACACGCCTGGCTCCTGCAATACATTTGTTCAAGCTTCGTGGCAGGGAAGGAAACGCGAGTGGAAGGGGGAAAGAGGACGGAAGCGAAGTGGATCAGGAACAGCCCAGGAAAAGGAATGTGGGGAAGTTGAAGAAGGATAGTTTCAAACAAATAAATGCACAACTTTAAAACAACCTGTGGGGGAGAGCCTGCTCAAGCAATCAAAATTGAGAAGCGACACTCGAGGAGGAGGAGGTGAGCGAAAGGTAGCCAACATGCATGCATCATGGGAGACACAACCAATGATGTGGCAAAGTGTTGCATGCTGATGATGATGATGATGATGATGATGATGATGATTGTCTGTAGATTGTACTACAAGTATCTCAATCAATTGCGGCGCCGGACATGCTCCATTTGCAACACCCATCCCCAGCGCTCTTGCGAATCTCAGCCCTTCTGGTTGTTTTGCACCATGGACACGGACAGTCTAAGTCTCGGAGATGTGGGAGCTCTGCACAATTGGACGAAGATGGAGGTGAACCAGGAAGGGAACCACGGCACCAAGCGCCTCCGATCCGCCATGTCGGGTGGAAAGAAAAACAAAGAGAAGAAGGAAGAAGACCCGAGACACAACCAGAAAGACATGCTGAAGTTCCTCTACGTATCCTGGCACTGAAGACCACGCTGGAAGAACTTCACAGGAGGACACTCAGGCTGCAGTCGGCCAGCATGGCATCATTTGGACTTCATCTTGTTGGACTGTGTGACCAGCCTGACCAGCTGACCTTTTACTTGTCTCCAAATTGACCGATTTTAAATATGTTTTGACCTCTCATGGTGCGCCAAAACCGCCCGAGATGGACATCTTCGACGTGGACCGGGACTACAAGGATGAGGGCTTGGAGGCGCTTGAGGCGCCTTCCCGTGAAACACACCACCCACATGGAACCTATCGAGTCGCGGTCCAAGCTGGAGGTTATCATGAGTGAGAGTGAGAGTGAGAGCGAGCGTTCACCAAGCGCTTCTGATATGGTGGGGATCTTCGACGTGCTCTAATTTCGTCACAGGTGCGGTGAAGCGTTGCGTTGCCTGTTGTGTTGGAAGCGTTCTTGCGGCGAAACGCCTTGGCAGGGCTGCCGCGTGTGAATCTTGCAGCGCAGATTTTGTGGCAGGCGCAGCGCTTTGTGCTGATTTCGTGGCAGGCGCAGCACTTTTTGAACCTCAAAGTGAGCCTCGAACTGCAGATTTCCTGGCAGGCGCAGTACTGGGACAGGGAACTGGGGACAGGGAACTGGGGGCAGGGAACTGGGACAGGGAACTGGGGGGGCAGGGAGCAAACTGGAGACAGGGAACTTGGGACAGGGAACTGTGGACAGGGGCCTTGGGACAGGGAACTGGGGGCAGGGAACTTGGGACAGGGAACTGGGGGCAGGGAACTGGGACAGGGAACTGGGGACGGGGGCAGCAAACTGAGGACAGGGAACTTGGGACAGGGAACTGGGGACAGGGAACTGGGGGGCAGGGAAGTCGGGAGAGGGAACTGGGACAGGGAACTGCGAACTTGGGACAGGGAACTGGGGGCAGGGACTTGGGGATGGGGAACTGGGGGCAGGGAACTGGGACAGGGAACTGGACAGGGAATTGGGGGCAGGCAAGTAAGGGCATCAAACTGGGGACAGGACTTGGGACAGGGAACTGGGGACAAGGACCTGGGGGGCAGGGAACTGGGGCGCCTCCAACATTGATCTGCTGAAACGCGCAACGGAGGCAAGAGCGGATCCAACCAAGCAGGAGCCCACTGCTGAGAATGAAGTAGATGCCCTAACGTTCACGCAAACAGTCATCATGTCCTTCGTGCGGGGAATGCCTATGGGCAACAAGAACTCCCCATTAATGATCTCTTTGTTTACTTTCCTGTGCAGGTACTTCCTGGCCTGGTCCAGTCAATCATAGACAACCAATATCAACCTACAGAGCTGAAAAGTGGCTGGGGCTACCGCACAAATAAGGGGGGAGCAGAAGACAACCCCTTTCTTGTGGTGGGCGCCTACCGAAAGGAAATGAAATATGAGAACAATCCGGAAATGCCCTACTCGCCGTGGACGGAAAGGGCCTATGCATCAAGGGCCCTTGACCCCTCACTAGGCCGGGAAGCCGACCACAAGCACCGAGCCTGGGAGACAAATGAAAGGAAGTGGGAGACAAGCCAGCCGGGAACCCGACCACAACAAGCACCCAGCCTGGAGCGGGAGACAAATGAAAGGAAATGGGAGACAAGCCAGCCGGGAACCCGACCACAAGCACCCAGTGTGGGAGACAAATGAAAAGAACTGGGAGACAAAAGAAAAGAACTGGACCACAACCAGAAAAGAAGTGGGAGACAAATGAAAGGAAGTGGGAGACAAGCCGGCCGGGAAGCCGACCACAAGCACCGAGCCTGGGAGACAAATGAAAGGAAGTGGGAGACAAGCCAGCCGGGAACCCGACCACAAGCACCCAGCCTGGAAAACAAATGAAAAGAGACAAAAGGAAGTGGGCCCGACTGCGCCTGCCACGAAATCTGCATTTCGAAGTAAAACCGCTCCGACCCCTACGAAAAGTTGACTTTGGACCACCAAAACACGAGGTTCCCTTGCGCCTGCCACAAAAAGTGACCACCATGTCCGAAAATTCGCGCGGCGCCACTATGAGAGCTCCAGCCAACCAGATTTTTGCGAGCCTGTGCAGTCGAAAGGCGCTTTGAGGACTTCGAGAGGCATGAGTGCATTGTAAATAGACGAATTAGCCGGACACAACCGCGCAACACCTTGATTATACACACAGGCCCCTAACACCTACCGTAAGAATTCCTAGTGTGACCACACTGCTTGGAGAAAAAAGGGGAATGGGAAGCGTAGTGACAGGAAAGGGGAAAGATACCAAATAGAAGGGGCGCCCGCGTGCCTAAACCAGCAAAGCCTCCCAAGAACCAACAATCAATAGCCAAGAGGCACGTCAAAGAAATGAGAGCGTGACAAAACAAGCACCTGATGACAAATAGCAACTGCACATCGCCTTGAATTCATATTTGGAAGGCACCCTGCAGCGGCACCAGCACCCAAGCTCCAAAGCGCACACCCTTCAGCGGCATCTGCACCCAAGCTCCAAAGCGCACATGGCCATGCACCTGGCAGCCGCTCCCTGCAGCAGCGCCAGCACCAAGCTCCAAGGCGCACATGGCCATGCACCTGGTTGCAGCACCAGCACCCAAGCCTCAAAGCGGAGATGGCCACGCACCCTGCAGCAGCACCAGCACCCATACGCACACGGCCACGCACCTGGCAGCGGCGCCCTGCAGCAGCCAGCGCCCAATAGCTCTTGCTATCTTGGCAAAAATCTAGGATGGGTCACTACAGGTTCACATGCTTAGCGTATCACGCTCTGCCAACCAGGCAGCACTCCACCCACTGTGTTCTTTTAAAGTGAGGGTGCGCAACTGTGAGTGACGAAAGGCAGTGGGTAAATGTGGGTGGGCAAGTGAAGGGCTTGTGAAGTGGAGCCAGAGATGGGGAGACTAGAAAGTCACAGGGACGCTGACAAGACCAGTCAAAGAGGTGCAACAAATCTAGATATTGAACATTCACGTAGGAGCAGCTCACAAATGAATCACCATGAATCACCTGAAGGCTGAAAAGGCAATACACAAGCCGAAAGCAACATGGAATTACCACCATAAACAGAGAATAGACTGAAAGAGAACTTGTTTCAGTTGTCTCAGCTTATCACCATCTCCTTCAAGTCTAATCCTCCTCGCCAAGTCCAACCGCGAGGGCATTCCATTTCGCATTTTGCTTCTGGAGTTAAGTAGAGCCTTATAGGGTGTCAACTCACAAGAACATAGCTATGAAAGCCTTGGGTGCCGCACAACATATTGCACTTGGTGCACTCCTCAGCAGAAGAGTGCACGTTCATTCAGTCGCTCGGAGACTGCACCATGCAGTCTTACAGCAATCTGCGGTCAGCATCTCCAAGATTGAGGTCAAGCATTATCTGGCAAAGGCAACACTGGCAGAACTTTGGCAACGAAGGAGTAAACAAAACGTGTTCCATCACCGCTAGTCTCCTCGTACTAAGTGGCCTGGAGTAATCTGATACGGCCCCCACCATCCTCCCAAAGACCCAACTGGTGACCCAACTCTAGTGATAGCACCCATCTCAAGCGATCCCACACAGGTTTCTCGCAGTGTACATTTGACAGCTCTCAAAAGAGATCTGGACAGGTAGGGCGTAGGGACAGCTTGAAGTATAAATGATTATTGTTCTTGATCATCATGATTCATGATAATCACTGTCGTTGCTAGAATCATCATCATGGTGAAGCAAATCCCAAGTGCTAAGGGCTCTTGCAGCTAAAGCAAGCTCTCAGGTCCAACTACAAATGCAACCGAGCAGCTTCTCTGCTTTGGCATGCAATGCAGCTTGGATCGCAAATCACGCAAACACCGCCGAGGTGCCCATTGCCAGCTGACGGAACGAAGACGAGGGTGACTGATCAATCCACAACACCCATAAACACAAAAACAGCATGTCCAGAGTTGATTTGACCTTTGTTTGTGTTGAAAGGTGTCGCCAAATCGAAACTTCAGTAGAACTTCTCGAACTCTGCACGTTGAATGTGCCTGTTCCCTGCCTTGCGGATAATACCCTTCTGGGCAAGTGCGCGTGCACTCACCTCTGTGTGAGAGGAGGTTGTAATCGATGCACTCCAAACAGACCTGTTGTCTGGGCAAGTGCATCTTTCTTCCGAGAACTTGAGAACACATGTCACATGTGCTTTCCAAAAACAAGGACGATAGCGAGATCGAGAAACACCTGTATCATGTTTTTGTTTATACAACATCACCAAAGCTTGGACCTAGATTCAACTTGAAAGAAAATGAATCCCCACCCCACCTCCCAAGCAAGGCTGCCTTTTGTAACATGCAAGGTGAGGGAAAGCAATGACAATAAGTCTTGCCAAGCGATCAAAAGGTTTGGGAAAAGGATAGCCACATGTAGAAAGCCGAGCAAACCTGTGAACGACCTAAAGCCTTGTTCACGCAAGCTACAGCTGAAACCGACAGCGCTTGGCCAGGCTAACCAGGCCGCGGCGCAAACACATTACCTGCTCCCCGCAAGAGATGAGGCAACCACAATGCGGTCAGTCAACACGCGGCCCACCAGCTCAGAAAACCATGCCAGGATGAAGAGCGAACCAAGGAGAACAGCACCAGGACTACAGCAAGCATTTTTCATCCTCCTTCCGTCCTCCTTCCTTCAAAGACCTCAACCCATTAAGTGTCCAACCATCTCTTGCGTCCACCTCTCTGCCTCCCTACGTCTGTGGGATAGGTCGGAAGGAGTTACAGTACCCCCGCAATCCTTGCAGCCATGCTGCAACAGGTGAGACTAACCCTGCGGTGCACTTTCCGCAGCCCGCTGGGCATGGCTGGCAAGACCGCAATGTACTGTTCGCATAGAAGCCTAGGCTGTGGGGAGGAGTTTAAGGAGTTCCTGTTGCGGACTGGGAGCAAGCAAGGTTCCAAGTGGTATTTAAACACATTCAAGCTGCGTTGTTTGCCGAGTTGCCATCTGGACATTCAGTATCACAAGCCGAATCTGGGGTGAGAAAATAGCCTTCCTGACGATGGGCACAGCACGTCTAATACAATTGTCCATCTTGGAAATTTTTCATTAAAAAACAAGTCTGCTCCAATACTTGCTTGCACCAAGACTCACTGCAGGAAGAACCTCAAAGGGCATTCCCCAAAAACTAAAACCTTTCTGGGTAGAGCTGACTTTCAATCAATGAAAGAACATGCACCAACCAAGCTTGGGCAACGAACTTAAGTTCACTTTTTGGCAAGCAATTTTCCAAGTGACATGCGCTGGAACTCGTGCAAATCCTGCAACTATCTGGGCACTCCTGAGGTGCCAAATCTGTCAAGGCCTAAACGGCCTAAAGAAATCACCCCAAAGTGTGCAGCTGAGACAGGCTGAGACGCATGACAGGTGTTGCCGATTTCGTCAGCCCCACGCTGGTAAAAGCCATCTCCACATGTTGAGCGGCCTAGGGTCAACGTGGCATGATTTGACGGCACAACTTGACTACTTGATCATGTATACAGTGGCGGGGCTGAGCTGGACGAGCTAGTACTTACGTATGCTTTCCTAGTAGCAAACGCGCTAGACCGAAGCTACAGGCATCTGTACTTCTGTAAACTGACTTGGTGGTAAAGTACCACGCTACCAATTCCTGGCTCCAAATCACCAGTTCCCACATGGACATGCTCAGTGGAAATCATCCAGAGGAGGCCCTGTTTGTTTCATTCTTGCACTGCAGCTTCTACTTTGGTACAATTTCCACCTCAAACTTGTTGCAGCAGGTTCACTCTTGAGACGTCCAAAACCTTCAATGTCCCTCTCTCTTTAAGTTGGGATGCAATGACAATGGTTTGGTTGCACACCCATCATTGACTATCAAAATGTTCACTTCAATTCCCCTGGTTCATGCCTTCCAGGCAGCTAACTGAGATTACAAGGGCGCACGCAACGGACAGAAGTAAGGAAAAACATCAACAATATGGGCCCACCAAATGGCATGGAGTGTTCAAGGTCGAACATATGCGGGTTTCAGAAAGTCCAACCATCCCGCCGGATAATTATCCCCCAAAGACCAATGACACTCAAAGCGTTCGATCCAAAAAACTCAACAGTGTGGCAGCCCATTGAGGTACCACCTGCACTATCAGTAACACCCACCTCCAAGCCCAGCAATACAGTAGCGTATCACATTTCAGGCTGGTGCAATCGAGCAGGCTTGGCTCAAGCCAAACAGAGTGGCTGGCTGAGTGGCCTGCGCCGCCTCTGACCCAAAAGGGTAAAGAAATGAAACGGTGAAGAACGAAGTCGGTATAGCTTTGGCAACAAGAAGCCGTTTAACACATTATTATTCGCTTAAGAAGCTATTACCGACGCAAAAGGGCTCAGCTTAATGATGTGGAACCTAGATCTTTGAGAAACTTAACTGTGTCTCTTGCAACCCCCCAACCAGATCCCAAATGCAAAAAATGATGCAATGTTATGGGATCACCGGACGGCTCCAACATGAAAGCTTGCGATAAGGGCCTGAGTCAGAGTCACAGATTCCAGGCGAAGTTGCGATCAAATCCCCCAGTTCCTGGCTCTAAGACCGGCAGCTTCCAGCTATCTTGGGATCTACTTTGCCAAGGAACACATATTGTCAGTTGGAGACAAGTATGTCTTCTTTCGGCACTCAGTGCAAACATCGTGGCTGATACACTTACCTCAGAAGCAGCAAATAACGACTCGATTGCGAATGTAAAACAGAAAGAAACGAACATCGTTCATTTGCGGAAACTTTCCCATGCACTCCAAGCCAGGCAGCTGCAAGTCTCTTGACATTGTGTACAAACACCTCCAGTTTCCTTTTCGCTTGCTCCTGTATCATCTTTGTAGTAGCCATCATCGCAATCAACCACACAAGTTCGATTGGGCGTGAGGTAGGCACCTCCAGCATAACTGCGCAATTTGCTCCATCAGTCGATCCAAAGGAGGCAAACGAATGAACGAAACACAATGGTGAGTGAAACGAACCAACCCTATTGCGCTTGTTATGAGTCCAATGCATTCTAACCAACAAACAGCACAAAGGCGCAATCCTCTGCGCCTGGAACACACGTGTCACAATGATGCCAATCAGAGCAGGAAACACACCTCGTTGGGCACGACCTGCAAGTACCTGAAGAATTCAAACGTGTTTGCAGATTTGGCAAAACTGTGATTATTGTTGAGTGCTGCAATGCCAAGGTAAGTCAATATGTGAAGCTGAGAATTCCTTGACTCCCCTGCCTTCGGTGTGTGCGTAGTAACCAGATGGGCATGAAGAACCACAAACCCCTGACAAAACCAACCAAAGAGTGACAAGGGTGAATCTTGTGGCTGGACGTGCAGCCCAAGCTGAGCCCATTGCCAGCCGGGGACAAGTACTTGCTTTGGCATTGCACCTGGAAAGGAATGCAAAAACAAACACGTCTATATGTATTTGCACCTTTTGACACATGTATACGGTGTATAAATGTACATGTATGTATGTGTCTATATATACCTATCCATGTATATATATTTTTTTTTAGCATCCAAATACAAGTATGTGTATACACATAGAAATGCAATCTACACCTGTAGGTACATAGATACATGGATACACACATGCATGCATGCATACGTTACGTTACATTATATTACATTACACACACATGTACGAGCGTACATACATACATACATACATACATCAAGCGAGAAAAGAAGCCATAGGGGAAAAAAACATACATACATACATACATACATACATACATACATACATACATACA